AACTGAGTAGAATTCAGAGTAGGTCAGGATGGCAACAGTGTTAATGAGTGGGGGTTAAAATTAAATAAGGGTGGGGGTGGAATAATACAGTTGAAAATTAAGTAAGTTAATCGGATAACGTAATATAGTTGACTAGAAATTGGACGTGGGTCGAGTTAGCAACATTGTTAATGAGGGTAGAGATTACAAAAGGGTGGGGTAGAGAATAATACAAATGAAGATGTGAAATAATAAAATGCAAAAGACAAAATAATACAATTAGTAAGACTGGAATTAAGAAAGATTACGTCCATTGTAGATTTAATGAATGAACGAATTTCTTTTGTATGCAGAGTTCAGGATTTAGCAGATGATTTGCCATTGCTTCTGCGATGTGGATAAGTTTGATCCGTACACTTTTAGCAAGACTGCCTTGTATTCTGTAGATAACTGAAGTTTATTTGTGGTCTGACTTGGTGTCCAGATTCGATCAAATGTGCAAGGATCGAGCTGCGGGGGCATCGGTTTTCTCCTTTATGAAACCATGAAGGTAAATGTTCGTTGACGAGTTTGGATAGTGAACGCTGAGTACGGCCGATACACCTGGCTCCACACGAGCAGGTGAATTGGTAGATGAACTAGATGAGGCCAACAGCGGTAGTTTATCCTTCACGTTCATACGAATCATTGGTCTCGTGGAGAACGTCAGTCGTAATTCAGCTGCAAAGAACGTTTTCTTCAATGAGTGGGAGAGCCGATTTCTCAGTATTTCTGTAGATTGGTGTCCATTCAACTGCAGGTTCATATAGAGAAGTCTTTTTGGAGCACTGGGTGTGGGCGGCTTCTCTGGTCTGAGTTTCATTGATTTGGTGATAAATCTTTTTGGATAGCCATTTTCAAGGAGGATTTTCTTAAGAGTGTTCATTTCATCTTCTATGGCGTCCAGGCTGCAAATTCTCCGTATTCTGTGGCTTAGTGAACGGATTAGGTTTCGTTTAGTATATAGAGGCACCCAACTGTGGAAGTTAGTGAGCTGTCTGTTCCACGTTGGCTTTCTGTGGATGGATCTTCTTAATGTTCTGTCTTGTTAGCGTCTCGTTAGTTGAACACCAAGAGAAGATATATTTGAGTTGGACTCTTTCTCTAGTGTGAACTGAATCGCAGGGTGGCAGTTGTTGAAGAACTTCAGGATATCTTCTATTTTCTCTTCGTTGTTGGAGATGATGAAGGTGTCGTCGACGTATCTCTTGTAGAGTTCAAAGTTGTCAATCAGGCAAGTGTTTTGCAATGGATAGTGCTGGATTTCTATTCAGATTAATCGCATTGTGATTTTCTATATGATTTAGTAGACATTTTAGAACATGTTCTTTTCGACGACCACACGATATTGGAAAATTCTATTGGTTCTAACTATATAGGTGTCACCGCAGCTGCAGGTGAACTTGTAGATACAGTTTGAAGCAGAATCCACAGAATTTCGTCCTTTAATCGTGGGTACAGGGATCGAAAATATTCGGCAAGTGAGAAAAAGAGATGAGGTGTAAAATGTGCGTTTGATGGCTGACCGAAGTCTTTGAGTTAGCTGTCAGCTGCACAATCTGGTCACCCTTGAATGGTAGGCAGGTTAATAAAGATGGCTTTCTTTGGTACAGAAGCTGCCTTTTCTGGATGTGGTCTTTCTTTACTGTGACAAAGTTTTCTGGATAACCATTAGCTAATAAAACTGAATGCATGCTTCGAGGCGCATCCATCATTGCGTCGCTTGTGCATATTTTGCGGGTCTTTGAAAACAAACATTTCACTAGGGGACGTTTATAATGGATAGGAACAAAACTGGTAAAAGGAAGATATTGTCCAATCCATGTCTGTTTACGGAAAATAGATCACTGAATCGTTCCATCATCTCTCCTGGTCATTGTAGTATCGAGGAAACCGAGTTTTTTTATTCGATTCGAGTTCGGAAGTCACTCAGATATTTGGATGAATGTGATTAAATAGGGCAATAAAGTTTTCAATAGATTTACTATTATTACCAATAATGAGAGCATCATCTACATAACGTTTATAGAGCATAAATTCTCCAAGCGTACCTTGCATTTGTTTCTCCAATTTCGACATGAATATATCTGCTAACAGGGGCCCAAGAGGGCTCTCCATCGCAACACCATCGATTTGTTTGTATGCCTTTTCTTGAAAGGTGAATCTAATATTTTCTGTACACATTAAGATGATGTCTCGGATGCAAGTGACAGGAATAGGTAAGCTTATCACATTGCTTATGATGTAATCGCAAATGAAATCAAAAGTTTCATGAAGAGGAACATTGGTGAATAAAGATTCTATATCGCTTGAGTACATAACCTTTTCCTTGATGTTCAAGGTGTCTAGCATATCGGTCAGATCGAATGAACTTTTTACAGAATGATTTGATAAGGAGTCCTTTACAGGCGTATATATAAGCAAATAAGTTTTTTATAAATTCCTTGTCCAGTCATGTGAGTCATGAAAGGATATTAAAACAAAATAAATCATGAACTGGTGAAAGTCAAAATTCGAGGGCCATTGATTTGGGTCCCACTGACTTAATAGTATACCAGCTTGCCTTGCGACAGGAAGGTCCTGGGTTCGAATCACGTTGGTGAGTGTGTACTTCCGACGATCCCCACCCAAACTAGGATGAAATAGCTGCTCAGTACTCCCTGTGGGTTTTCAATGGTTCTCTAACTGATATCAATCCATGGTCAAGCTCGTATGAACAAATCTAATCCTTACAAACCAAACTCTTGAAAATAAACAAAGTTGCTTGAGGGAACAACTGTTAATCATTTGTTAGCTACTTCATAAGAAGATATAGACAATCGGGAATTTTGATTCAGTATGTCTGATTAGTGATACATATATATTTTTATTTATTATTCAGGACTTGCTATGCATCAGTTAACAAGATGACTTCTTCACACATGTTCAGTATTTTGGGATTCATCCATATGTATGTAGGGTTTCTGCAATCAATTTTTCTTTATACGTACCTTGGTCCTATCAAAGCCTATCTTGTGTCCCATTTCTATCGAATGTAGTGCAGTGCAATCACTGATCTGTTATAATATTCCAAATTCATGAATTTATAATCTCTACTGAAGGCTGGCCAGGGTAGTAGTAGCTGGCTGAACTTACTTCTTTTGCACAGAAAGCACTGGTTGTTTCACGCGAATTGCGCTAGCCTCTGCTGTTTGCAGCTTGCGGTACCTCGATTTTTTTGGCACCCGGTAGATGATGATAGGGAAGGATTCTTCAATGCTGGCCGCTATGTGGCCATTTTGGACCACGTGGTTTAATATCCAACTGTTGATGGTTTCTACTATACCTTTATGTAGCCATACTTGGAGATGTTCTCAAGAGAGCACGAAAAATCAATTTCCTAGAGCGACGGCCAATATAACTCGCTCTATCACAAGTGCAGTTCAATTGGTAGATACAATAAGAAGTGGCTAGCTAGTCTAGGTACTTCATCTTTCAATTGAAGAATCACCAACGGTCATGTAGGAAGTATGACTTGTAATTTGCCAGCATTAAAGGTTCTTTGAACTGATTTAATTAACTTGTTAGTAATTATTTCGCTGGGTATATCGCCCTTGAATTGTAGTCGTATGTATGAAGGCTTCTTGTTTACGGATGGCGAAGAGTTGTTTTCACATTTCTTAGTCATATGTTTCCTGATGAATTTGCCTGGATAGCTATTTTCAATCAAGGTATTACATACAATCCTTAGTTCATCTGTAGTCACTTATTCAGAGAATATAGCTCTAACTCTGTGGCTGAGGGTCCTTACTAAATTTCTTTAGTAGCGGAGAGGAACAAAGCTATGAAAATGTGTGTATTGTCCTGTCCAATTACCGTTCCAATGCAAATCTCTCTTCATACTACGATTTGTTTTTCTTTTAAGTGGGACATCCAGGAAGTCAATTAATCCTATTTTGGGATTCCTCTTCACACGTGAATTTCATAGCACTATGTACTTCACTGAATCAAGTTATTATTATGTTCCTATCCGAATCATTATCACAAAGAATCAATGTGTCATCCGTATACTGGCAATAAAACGAGGATTTTCTGATAAGGTGGTTCAAACGTGCATTTTCTAGTTTACTAAGAAATAAATCTACCAAAATGGAACCCAGCGGAGAGTCAATCGGCCCCCTCATCCACTTGTATGTAAAGTGTGCCGTCAAATTTGAAATTTACGTCCATGGTACACCTTAATAACAATTCTTTTAGGATTTCCGTTGGAATGCCAATATTTATCGACTGGTTATACACTTCTTCACATGTGTAATTAGCTGTTTCTACTAAGGGTATATTTGTGAATAAAGTTTTATCCTTGATATCATCAGAAAACATATAACTAGGAATTTTGAAAAGGACATTTCACTAACCATAAACAAGAAGCCTTCATACGTACGACTACAATTCAAGGGCGATATACCCAGCGAAATAATTACTAACAAGTTAAGAAAATCTATTCAAAGAACGAATAATGCTGACAAATTACAAGTCATACTTGCTACATGACCGTTGGTGATTCCTCAATTGAAAGATGAAGTACCTAGACTAGCTAGCCACTTCTTATTGTATCTACCAATTGAACTGCACTTGTGATAGAGCGAGTTATATTGGCCGTCGCTCTAGGAAATTGATTTTTCGTGCTCTCTTGAGAACATCTCCAAGTATGGCTACATAAAGGTATAGTAGAAACGATCAACAGTTCGATATCAAACCACCTGGTCTAAACCAGCCACAAATCCAGCCAACTAGCATTGAAGAATCCTTCTCTATCATCATCTATCGGGTACGAAATAAATTGTCAAAAAAATCCAGGTACCGCATACTCAAAACAATCGGTGCTTTATGGGCAGAAGAGGCAGGTGCATTCATTGAGTTTATTGATTATTTTCACGTATAGTATTTTCTATTTATTCAATTGATTTGTCGTTTTTCTCCCTTTGTCTCTCTCTCTCTAATAGAACATGTTATCAAAGTGCAATTTATGATTCTGTATTTAATTTGCTCAAAAAGGATGACAGTGACGTGATTGACGCCCATGATTTAATTGAAGTAAGTGAGCTTAACATTTTACCTTTTAATATTTATTATTATTATCTTTTAATAATGCATTATGGTTAAAAGTTGTGAGGTTGTGGGGTGAAACAAATTGGCTATTATTTTATTGTTTCCTTTACTTCCTAGAGGAACATAGGGCTTCAACCGTGCCTTCTCCATTGCGTTCGGTTTTCTGCTAGAGTCTTCACCTCGCTCCAAGTCTGCCCACATGCTTTCATCTCCTCTTCACATGATCTCATCCAAGTCATCCTTGCACCGACGACCAACTCGCCGCTTCCCTTTCGGGTTCCACTCGAGCAATGGCTTGTCTAGTGATGTCACTTGATGGTTTGTTTCCTCAGAGTATGGCCAATCAATCCATCTCCATTTCTTTCTGCCTATTTGTTTCACAATCGGTTCCTGCTGTGTTGGTTCGCTCCCAGAGATCCGTCACTATTGCTGATCTTTTCTGGCCGGCTATCTGATCTTGAGTAGTATTGAGGGAAGACAACAGTTAATGGAGGTCTGTAGTTTGTTTGAGATGCTCTATATGACGTGCTGGCCAAGTCTCTGATCCGTATAGTAGCACTGACTTCACATTGGAGTTGAAAATCCGGATCTTGGCTATAATGGCTTAATGATAAATTGGCTATAATGATGAATATTGGTCAGTGGTGACTCTATATATGCATTGCGAGTTGAAGAGAGACAGAGAGAGAGGTTCGAATACTTGAACGAATGGATTCTGACTGTCTCAGAGGTTGAAGAGACGAAATGATCACCTCGTGATCTCAAGGCCCTGTGTTCTATTCTCATATATGCGAATAGAATATGGTGACATACTAGAGCGACTGACTGACTGACGGGTTTCAATGTAGAAATTTGCACCGGTGTGCAGCACTTCAAGTGGCCACAATCCCTTCATGTGTGACACAAAGCAAGAGGAGAGATTAGAGGGAGATAATGCACAGAAATATGAGGAAAAAAAATAGTAGTATGGAAGAACAATAGAATTTTATTGAGTGTTATTAATCACAAGGAGCGGATGCATCTGCACTAGCCATTGAGAACGATGCTTTTGAGCCATATCTCCAATTCGTGGAAAATACCCATTGGAACATTAGATTGAGAAGAACAAGAAGTTCAGCAAAGATATCTTTTCGGCGATTTCACTCTCAAGAGCTGTACAATCGCATTTATATAGATAAGTTGACATGGATAAAATTCTTATTTGTTTAATTCCACATAGTAACGAAGGTGATAGTAATTTTCAACTTGATATGAAAGTTTGAAGGTACGAATATAGATTACAATGGGCTTAGATACAAGATTGCATAGGATTAGATAGCAGTTGCAACATATGCAAAATTAATATTTGATAACAGGAGAAATAATTTTAAAGGCGAATAAAAGGTGATAAGTGTTTTCAACTTGATATGAATTACAAGAGGCTTAGAACGAATTACAGGTGTGAACAAAATGAACATGGAAACAAATTGAGATCAAAATTTTCAACTTGAAATGTAAGTTAGGAGGTGTGAATATAGATTACAAGAGGCATAGAAACAAAAAATTACACAGGATTAGAATATAGATGTAAGTATAAAACTTGGGCACTGTGGTAGAGCATAACTCCATTAAGGATAAGATTTTATTTTGATAAATCACACAGTGTTACACAGCAATATTAACTGATGACGTTTTGAGCATAAACTGTTGCTCATAATCATATCAAGTTGATTAGAATATAATTGTAAAATGGTTATTCTAAACGGATTACAAGTGTGATCAGGAGGAGCATGGGAACAAACTTAAAATAATTGATTTTATGACTGAAGAAATAGGATGAATTGAATGAAGGTAAAGAGAGAAAATTACACACACAGATAACAAAACAAAAAAACTGAAGGATAAGGGACTTATCTACATAATTGCGATTGTACAGCTCTTGAGTATGAAATCGCCGTAAAGATATCTTTGCTGAACTTCTTGCTCTTCTCAGTCTAATATCACCAATTGTCCTCAGCTGTTGGTTTATTTCTTACCATCCTGAGGACCCCAACCACAGTCAGGAATTTCGCACCTCCCTAACTGTTGTGGATTTGATTGACTGATGAAGCCATGTTTTGGTTTGACCGCCCACACACTAGCTCTTTTCCAACCTGATCCATCCTGTGTCAGCTAACATTGTTCGTTGTCGAGGAAAGCGATGGCTAGTCAGCATACAGATTCTAATCTTGTAATTATTTTTCTTATGCTCATGCCTAACCTCAATATTACTCACCCTATTATACCACTTCACACGGGAGATAGAATGCAGACACCTATGATCAAAGATAGCTAGCTAGCCTTTTCACGTCTTCAAGTTTCACAGCCATAAAGGAGGACAGAGCAAACTGCTGAGCAGTACACACATCCTTTGGTCGACAGCCAGTCAGATATCACGTCTACTAAGCCAGAGGTGGCGTAAGTTTGCGGCAAATGCCAAACGAGCCTTCTGTATGTCTGGTGAGATTTCGTCAGCGACCAACCCGTTGGCTCTGGCTGATGCCACTTCCCAAATAAGTGAAGTAAGTGGTCAACACGCTTCACCAACCACTTCACTCCCTCACTATCTTTAAGCTAGGAGTTGATGTATTCCAGTCAGTCCTGTAGCATCATCTTACATTTGACAGGAATGAATCGCACGCCAAATATTCGAAGATTTCTCGCTCCTCAAGGTGTCCATTGGAAGTCTTTGCATTTTGTCAGCGTCTCCATCTTGGAGGAGGACCATATTATCTATATATTTTAAGTAAACGAGAGTATTCCACGGTGGTAAGAAGTCGACCCATAAGTCATTGAATTCATTTGGGGTTAAGTGCATTAATGTGTACATCTCTGATGAAAATAAACAGAAATGCGGATAGTGGTGCGCATCCCTGACTGTAGACACCACTGGTACTCATCACTGTTATCAGATGACAACTCTCTCTAGGCTCTTACCTGGCTGGCTGCTGCATGATTTCGGCTACAGTGAGTGCCTTGATCAGTGCGATGTATTTTCTGGTCATTTTCTTCATAGCCAAACATCGCCATAGTACCTGTCGGTTGGCAGAATAGAATGCCGCCTTCAGGTCAAGAAATACGACGACTGTTGGACGCAGGTAATTATACCTGTTTGAGAACCTGTCGAAGGGTGAAGATATGATCGATACACCAATCCTAAATAGGCTGGGTAATATTAGAGTTAACTGTCAGGTTTTAGGTAAGGAGGGCGAATCAATCGATGAGGGTGTGACGCTAAATCGATTGAGATCGCTAGAGAATTTCGTTACATAACTCGACAGGCAATGTTAGTTGACATAAAATCAGGTTGGAAAACAGCTAGTAATGGTCAAATGAAAACATGGTACCAGTCTATGAAATCTTCGACAGTTAGTTTCAGCTAGCCATATAGAGTCCCTGGTATTCTAAGAGACAACTACTGTAAACGATTGGTGGTATGGCGCTAAATCATTTTCACTGGCTGTCGCGGATGCATTCACTCCTCGTAGCCTCATTATTATTATTATTGTTCCCTTGGGTTCCTAGTGGAACATAGGGCTTCAACTACACGTCTCCATTTGCTTCTGTCTTCTACTGTACTTTTCACTTGCATCCATGTTATTCCATACTGTTTCAACTCCTCTTCACACGATCTCCTCCATTTCACCCTTGCACCGACGAACCACTCGCCGCTTCCCTTTCAGGTTCCACTCGAGCTATGGCCTGACGCACGATGTCACCCAGCGGCCTCCTCAGCGAGTGTCCAATCCATCTCCACTTTCTCCTGCATATTTGTTGGGCGATCGGTTCTTGTTTTGTTTGTTCCCATAGTTTCTTGTTGGTGATTGTTTCCGGCCATCTGATCTTCAGTATAGAGCGACGAAGACAGCTGTTGATAAAGGTCTGCAACAGGCTGTTGGAAATATTCTTTGTGACCCGTCAAGTTTCTGATCCATCCGTATAGAAGAACTGACTGACTTGACGTTTGTATTGAAAATCCGAATTTTGTTGTTGATGCTGAGTGATGAAGATTTCCATATTGGTTTCAGGTTGATGAATGTGTTTCTCGCCTTCCCGATTCTCGATTTGACATCTTCGCCCGTTCCTCCTGTAGTTGAGACAATGCTCCCTAGATAAGTGAATGAAGTAACCTCTTTCAAATCCCTCCCGTTGATGGTGATTGGAGCTGGATGTTGTTGCTGTTGCTGTTGTTGTTGTTGGTTGGTTATTTTCATAACCTCCATCTTGTCTATGTTCACCTGGAGTCTGTACTGTCTTTGCTGCTTCTTCGACCAGTGTGTCGGTTTTCGCTTGTAAGTCTTCGATTTTGTGTGACATCAAACATAAATCATCCGCGCGCGAAATCCAGGTCTTCTAGATTCTTCACGTCGGTCCAGGATATCCCTGTCTTCTCGTTTCCCACTGTCTGACGCATAATCCAGTCCACCACAATTAGGAATATCATTGGTGATTGATAATAAGCACCCTTGTCTGACTCCTGTGTTTACTCCAAACGCCTCGCTGAGTTTTCCGTTGTGGATCACTTGACATGTGCCGTTGTCGTACAGCTGTTGAATAAGGTTGATGAATATTTGGGGTACGCCGTAGTACTCGAGTAGTTTCCAAATTACTTCGCTGTCCTTGTAGCCTCATATATTCATTAAACCCTATTGTTTTTCCATGTTTCTATTCTTTCTCCACTACGTTTCGGCTTCTTATAGTTCTTTTGATTGTCTTTTGTCTCTCTCTTGTCTTCCTTTATTTACTGCGTGGAGAGTGTGGCAACTCGAACTGCTGCACATCTGTGAGAGGTTCTAAGTTGAAACCAGTTAGTCATTTCTATTCTCACTGATGGAGTATTGGAGGCGTACTACTGAACAGTCCTAAGCTAAGACACAACAGCTGTGCAATCAATCCTCTTTGGTTTCAAGTGACTCTCTAATTCACATCCTTTCTTGGTGAAATCTACTGTTGAATAAAACAGTTGT